ATATAACGTCACATGGACACACTCACACTCACACACAGATACATATATATACATGTATATATAGATACATATATACATATACACACGCATACACACAAATTCACACAAACATACAAATCTCACATATATAATATATATATATTTATATATTACTAATTGGTTTTATGTCTCCAAGTTTTGCATTTATGTACCAGTGCGCTGTAGTAGAGATACACATGCCTAGTTTGGCAAACGTCCTTATCTGATCTCAAAGTCTAAAAGACGAAGTGTGATTCGTTGCACAGGAATTCATATTCTTGTGATATATATTCAGGTATACGGTGTCAAGTTGTTGAGTAGTAAACCTTTACGACTAGGCAAGCTCGAGATCAATCGGGCTCATATACATTTCTACTTATCTTGATCAACACTACGTACGCGCACTGTTCATCTGTTCATCAAACATATTCGTACACACACACGTCCGTCGCCTATGTAACGTATATCGGTTTTCCGTAAGAATCAATCTATTGGCATATCCACAACAACTACCAACGTGTCCTCGGCACACACGAGCTTGTGCAAAACATACTCGTGTGTGGCAAATGTACATGTGCAACAATTATGGACACAGCGGCTTCACACCATATATATCAAATCCCCGCTTGAGCTGAATCATTCGACTTTCTTCAACACTCCACTACGTGCGGGCACTACAGACCCACTCTCTCATCGATTGGTTGGAACAAAACGTGAAGTTTCCGGAGCGAAACATGGCCAAAATTCTGGCGCAGAAACTGTTCGATACCGGTTACATTTTCCCACTGGAATACGGGCCGATCGTGGACAGCGAAGAGCAAATTATTCGATTTCAGACGCCTTTCTATTGGCCTTCTATCAGGTGTGCTTGTGTGTGTATGGACCAAGCGTGTGTGTGTTTACAGTTTACCTAGCTGCTAGTGTGCATGCAATCAGCTTTTGCATGAGGTGTGTAATATTCGGCAGGCACAACCCTCGACCGACACGGAGACGGTTGTTTGATTCAGTTTAGTGTTTGAGGAATGCTGCGTTCTATAAGGTGGTTCATCTAGTGTACATATCTGTGTTGATATATCCACGTACTTTCTTACCTACGTGTATTCATAATGTGGGTGACGCACGAGGATAAGTCTGTTTGTCTTCAACTACATTTGTGTTTATCGTACAACAATGCCCGTGGGACTTTAGATCACTGATAGCTGTACATTGATACGCCATACGGAACAGAAGTACCCGTGAACAATCACAAATTCCGAATTTTTTAAGTGCGTTTTTGAAATTCTCAGTGCTATGCTTGCATTATTCTCACACAATCTTTGGAAATATAAACCACCCAATTTAGATTTCTCATACTTATCTATACACTGATATGGCTAAGGATTGATGTACTATGCAATATACTCATAAAATAGATGCTTCGAGACATTCTTCGAGTTGAGTATTTAACGTAGAGGTACTCAATTGTATTTTAATTTCTCCATACCACAGTAACTCGGTATCGGATTTCGACTACGCCGTTTACCTATCCAAGCTTGCGCTTAAGAAGGTGGCCATGCAGGACTACGAAACTCAGGCCTTGTCTCAGCTATCAAATGCGCTCAAGTGGAGATGGGAATTTGTGCAGCAACAAGCCGCAGAGACCATGGTATGTGTCTGTGGCGCATATTGCGTTGCACAGATGAGTGTGGCATACACCTTTTCAATCTGTGTATTGTTGTAGTTTTTAGTTACCTGTATCCATATGTAGTGCAAGGGCATCTATAGATTACAACTATATACTCTCTTGAGTAGTTTATTTCGCTGCGGTCAATACTCTTTTTGCGCATATAGTGTAGGTATAGTAATGGGCTGAACACTAACCAGTTCTCCATAGTCAACACTATGAATATTGACAATGCAGCACAGACGTGTGGTGTGCATGTTTTTGGTATGCTCGTAATTTTATATAGACGGGGTGTGTCTAAACGGTCTCGCGAAGGAATTTTTATTGGCATTTGGAACCAGTTGATGGGTAAAATACATACCTGCATACGTAAAACTTGAGGCAATCCGTCATGGGTAGGTTCGCTTGCGGATGTATCCGATATGTGCACGTATGGTGCGTAGAGTATCATATATGTATCTTAACCGATGCGGGCTTGACTGAACATCTTGTCCCTTCTTCGTATATCCAACTCGAGCGTGTCAGCATTCCTAATCAGTGGTCGTCACAGCACACACACACACACACACACACACACATATATATATATATATATATATACATACACACACACACACACACACACACACACAATATATATATATATATATATATATATATATAGTCATGCCATCCTACGCGCATTGTGCTCCACGTGGGGATGTGATATTTTGACACTCACCACTACCTTGTGTACTGATATGGTGATTTACATCTCATGTGTTTTCTTGCATTGTGTCTACACAGCGTTCGTACAAAGAGATGACGAGCATGAATAGGCAAATCATGGATTCACAAGAATCTGCCTACTTCTGGGTACACAGACCTCCGCCTTCCAAGGACGTAAGTTGGCTTGCATGTGATTACATACTTTATATTGTTGGAAGATATATCTTAACTTCATCGGCAAACCTTTGGTTATGTTTAGTTTTCGTATGTAGATTGCAAAGTTCCTCTATCAATGTTATCTGTCAGCGGCCGGATACCGAATTATTGCAACGGCAAAGGTGGTTGAACACCAGCTACTGCACAAGACCTCGTGCGTTCATCTGTTCGTTTTGCGTGCCTATGCTCACGCTTCATGTACCCCCATGGGTCTGCTCTGGCATTGCACAATGCCCACACAAATAACAATGCGTACAAAGTTTATATGGTAATGACCGGATACCAATGGGTTCCCTGGCATTTATGCATGTACGTTTTTGAATGCGCGTTGGCTTTTCATATACTTTGAACTTCAAACTTGCACATAAACATGCAAAAAAGTCGCAATACCCGCTAATCGGATTTCTATGCCCAATTCGCAACACTTCCCCGCCCTCCCCACACATACACCCATACATATATACATACATACTTCCACATTCATAGGGTATGGCCCAAACTATGATCGAAGACGAGGAGATTCTGGATGACCGTGCCCTCGAAGCGCCACAGTGGGCCGAGGGACTATCGCAGCTACTTGCCAGCGAGCAGGGACGTATCATGTACGGTGACTTCCTGGCTTCGGAGTACTCGCGAGAGAATCTGGACTTCTGGGTGGAGTGTGAGAAGTTCAAAAATCTTGGAGAACGCGATCAAGAGCTCATGTGCAAGGAAGCGCGGGTTATATACAATCAGTTCTTGGTGGCCAATGCGCCGCGCGAGGTATGGGTTGAGGGTGATGACTGTGTTCTGCATTTCTGGGTTGGGTTGTATTTTCCTGTTTGCGCTCGATGTGGAAGTGCACGATATCCCACGGTGAGAGGATATCTGAGAGTATCCAGAGTGGTATAATCGTCTGACCTTTCTATGTTGAAACAAGCCACCTTTTGTTTGTATTGAGTTTTTTGTAAGTAATACTCCGTGTGAAGTGGTCATGATGTTTGTTGGTGTTGTATGACTCGACTTGTACACAGTGCATAATGCTAGTCTACCCATTGCACTTCATCCTTGCCCTGTACTCACGCGCTGCAATATTTTATATGGTCTTACACTTTTGTACTTCTATACAATCTACACCAGTCCCTACCGAATTCAAAGTGCTTGCATTTATGCCTTTTAACCTTTTAGGACTGGCGGCAGATTCCGATTCAACCGTAAGGTATCACCTGTGAACACGACGTGCACATCGTTACATCCCTCTATCCGTTTAGCGTTATACACTCATTGGCACTGATACTGAAACAGATGGCTCCATAGCACACATAGCGCGGCGCGTCCTGCACACCTTGTTCTAACTGATACACAAATCCCCACAGGTCAATGTTCCCCAGGGAATGCGACAAGTCATGTGGCGTAAGATTGAAAACTTGCAGTTAACCTGCACCGATTTGGAGACTTCCAAGAACAACATCTACGAGCTCATGAACAAGGACAGTTACTCGCGATTTCTACGATCGCCCGAGTTCATAGCTCTAGTACAAGCGGCCGAGGCGACACGTTTGATTATGGCTTAACTCAGAGAAGCGTCAAGTCAAAAGTTCGGAGGCTGAAGTTAGAGAAAGTACGAAAGTTCGATGTCGAAGTTTTACTAGTTAGAGGAGTACGGGCGTGCGGACTGACGCAGTGGATCTCTGTGGAAGGTGTTGCACACACTCGCCAAGCCACTCGTTTTGATTCATCAGGCTCGCAGATGTATATGTATGGTGCTATTAACATAGGTTAGCCAGGAGTTGTAGATGTAATTTATAACAGGTCAGTTGCCAGAAAAAAAACCCCTCATGAGCCAAACATTGTGCTGTGCATGTGTATGGTGTAACGATGTAACATCCTTGTCCCGGTTACTGGGTGGCCAAAAAAAAAAGGCCCAAATAAAGGACCCGATTACATAACATATAGTACCTAGCAGGTATTGATCTTGTTCGTGTATAGCCCAATTTTATGTATATAGCCCAATTTTTGATGTATATATTTATGATTGAAAATATTGATCTTGTATATGAATAGCCTAATTTTTGATTTAGTTAGCCCTATTTTTGATGTATATATTTATGATTGAAAATATTGATCTTGAATATGTATAGTCCACTTTTCGATGTATTTATTTATGTTTACAGCAGGTATTGATCTCGTATGTGTATAGCCCGGTTTTCGATGCAAATATTTATGTTTTAAAATATAGTAGAAAAAGTAGTAGATATATGAATATATCAATAGGTGTTTTTGTAATTAGTTTCGAGAAGATTATGCACTATGTATTAAATCAAAATGTTTTTATATCTTCGAGTAG